CATTACATTGAGCCAAAAAAAGTACATTAAAGAAGTGCTGAAACGGTTCAACATGGAGGAGTGTAAGTCCATTGGAACACCTTTGGAAGCAAATTTGAAGTTGATGAAGCTCACAGATGAGGAATTTGCTGAAGTTGAAGAAGAAATGAAAGATGTTCCATACAAAGCAGCAGTAGGCTCACTTATGTATGCAATGGTTAGTACAAGGGTGGATCTTGCATATGCGGTGAGTATTTTAAGTCAACACATCTCAAAGGCTGGACCAATTCATTGGACAACCATTAAGAGGATCTTGAGGTACTTAAAAGGCACTTTGAACTTCAAATTGTATCTTGGAGGTGATAGTATTACATTGCATGGATATTGTGATGCGGATTGGGCTGGAGATACAAATGATAGAAGATCAACAACGAGATATGTATTCTTTGTTGGATTAAGAGTAATTTCATGGAATTATAAGAGACAACCAACAATTACAAGATCTACAATAGAGGCGGAATACATGGCAGCAAGTCATGGTACAATAGAGGCAATATGGCTAAGACAAGTTTTAGAAGACATTGTTCTTCTGCAATTGGAAGCAACTCCAATGAAGTGTGACAATCAAGGATGCCTTGCTTTTGCCAAGAATCCAAAGCATCATTTAAGGACAATGCACATTGACATTGAACATCACTTCATACGGAAGAAGATTGAGATGGGAGTAATTGACATGAAATATTGTGCACCGGAAGACATACTTGCTGATTTACTCACAAAAGCATTGGTGAAGGATAGACATTACAAATTGACAAAGGGATTAGTTTTATTAGCCTTTGACCAACAACAAAGTGGGAGTGTTAAAATAAATAGATGATAAGTTAGAAGGTAAAAGATATTATCTTAGATAAGTTACTAATGGTCAAAGGGCAGCAAAAGGATGAAGGAAAGTTATCAAGGTGGCGGCTAGGATTTTAAGTGGCAGCTAAGGTTATAGGTAGCGGCTAGGGTTATAGGTGGCAGCTAGGATTTTAAGTGGTAGCTAGGTTAAGAAGAATCTAAGGTTTAGTTTGATGAAAGTAAGATGAATATTGGCCAAAATGGATGTAACATCTACCTATAAGTAAAGAGTGTTGGTAGTGAGAGGTATCTCATTCCACACTTCTCTTATGTCTAATCTTGCTGATTTCTACTTACTTGTCTCTTGCTTATTGTGTTTCTTCAATAAAAAATACTTGTGAGTACTTAGAGATGTGTTCAAATGGGAGTAATGATATGTTTGTAGATACATTTCAAATTTTAGCAACAAAAGAAGAAGATAAAGAAAATTAAGATGATAAAGATGTGAATGAAGATTAAAAAGCAAAGAAGATTTTAAAAAAAAAAAAAAAAAAAAAAAAAAAAAAAAAACTTACAAATTCTAAAGACCAGTAATGAAGATATTGAAGATTATGATGATGAAGAGTATCAACCTTTAAGTGAAAAAAGATAAGCTTTAAGAGAGAAGAAGCTTCGAAGAAAGTTTGGAATATAAGAAGTTGAATCTTCTTCAAATGAAAGAAGATATTCCTTGAGAGAAAGAAGACCTTGTGGTAAATAATAGAAGAACCACATCTTTCTTCAAGTAAGTAAAGAACATACAAATGTTGCTCTCCTTGTTGATCTATTGTCTTTGTGTCATGCTACAAAGCCCTAAGATGGAATGAAGTAGAAGAAGGCTATAGAAGAAGAGTATCAATCTCTTATAAATAATGGTACATGGGAATTGGCATCTCTTCTAGTGAATCGATCTAATATTGCTTGTAAGTCGGTGTTTAAAACTAAAAAAGATGCAATTGATAAGGTAGTGAGGCACAAAGCAAGATTAGTTGCCAAAGGATATTCACAAGTTGCTGAAATTAATTTCAATGAGACTTATGCACCCATTGCCAAATTTACTACCATTAGGAGCATTGTGGTAATTGGAGCAGTAATGGACTTGAAAATGCACCAAATGGATGTGAAGACGGTCTTTTTGAATGGAGAATTGCAAGAAGACATCTACATAGACCAACTTCAAGGATTTGTACAATAAAATAAAAAACAACTTATATGCAAGTTGAAGAAATCCCTATATGGATTGAAACAATTACCAAAAGCATGATATCAACGTATTGACATATTTTTTGTTAATAAGAGATTTTTAAGAAGTGAGGCTAATTATTCACTATATGTGATACAATCTAAGGAATTCTTGCTGATTGTAATCTTCTATGTTGATGATTTGATCATCTTGGCTAACAATATGGAAAAGATGGATTAGAATATTAGAAGAAAAAAAAAGAATCATGCTAATTTTGAGCTTATATTAGAACTTAACAATAGCAAGCATCATCATCAAGATTGTGAAGTTCAAGCATCTTAGCCACCTTAGAATCAATTTGACAATAATGAAAAATAGTTTTTGGTGAAATTGCACAAGTGCTGAAGATTTATTTCGATACAATTGCAATTGTAATCAAAGTTAACAGACTCAACTAGTATCAATTTATGTCATTATTGAGTTTCATCATTATGTAGTTTATTGTATATGTGGACCAGTTATTTCAATTCTAATAAATATTAAAAGAAATAATTGAAATAATTTTAATAATATGATAACATGATAATTTATTGAAGTAATTATTATAATTTTTTTAATAATAATTCAATAATTTTAATTATTTCTTAAATTTTTTGATAAAATCAATTGTGTTGAACATTTCAAAAACCAGTATTTCAGATTTGATTACATATTCCATTCTATATTTATTTTTTATTTTTTTGAAAAAATTATAAAAAATATTTTTTGGTTTACTAACATTTGTAATAAATTGTAATTTGAAGAGTTCATTGTCACGTTTTTTCTAAATACAAATGCATTATCTTCGTTCACAATACAGTGTTTGCATTGAATGTTTGTTTCTTCTAGTATCTAGAAGAAATAAGATTGCATGTAAATAAAAAGCTAGTAATTTTTGCTAATATGCAATTGACACACGGCTTTAAATCTAACTTCTGCAGTACTGTTAAATGTCACATTTACTCTAGTATTGTTGCTTCCATACAAAACATTGTAAGCTACTTACTACTTTCTATTGTACAATTGTTCTTGAGATACATGAAGTACATTGAAGTGGAGTCATCTATTAAGAGAAGATGAAGCTTGAAAACTACCGGACACAAAGCTATCACTTCTAGAGTCTCTAAAGCTCTACAAGCCTCTTTCACAAGTCCTCTATTATGGGGTTGTGATCTACTAAAGCACATGTTTTCTTTTTCAACCACAATACAACAAGCATAATCTGAAATTTAGAAATTTGATAAAAATCTAGGGTGCCTATCAAAAGTAACTTGGTTGTGTAAATATAGTAGAATTTGGTACATACATTTCTCTTCTTTTTAATTATGTGCTTCAATTTTGTCAAGCATTGGGAATATGCGCATGACTTTAGTACAAGTTTCATGAATTTATGAGTGAATTCTTGAGTATTTGGCACTTCATCCAACGAGGTTGTTGGTACTGTGAGTTATCAGGGTTGGAGATTGCTTGTTGGAGGTGGATTGGCATTGGGGCTATGCTGATACATAGGATAATATTGCTGAGCAGATGGTATGAACCATAGTAAAAGAAAGGCAAGGAGAAAGAACAGTGTGCAAAGAGACCTCAATTTAGAGATGAAACATAAGGAGTAATTCAACAAGTTGTTATGTTCATGCAAAACAAATTCATATATAAATTATTCTACAATTTAATGAAAATTAATGGCAATCACAACATCAAATTTATAATTTTTTTTTAGCACAATAAATAGAAAGATATATAAGAATTATTGATTGTGTGAATGTGTTTTTGAACCATGTTGAATTTAAGTTTTTTTTTTTTTTTCATTGTATTTTCAATATAGAATTAGTTTAATTATTATTATATGCTATAATTTTTAAACTTTTCTTTACAATTGTTTTATAAGAAAAAAATGTAATTTGAATAAATTTTATGAAACGAATTGATGCTTATTTTTTATTTAATTTTTAATTTTAAGATGAATTATTTTAATTATAATAGGTGATTGACTTAAAATTTAAAGAAAAAATCAAGTAAATGTTTTCAATTATAATAATATTAAAGGATAAAGTGTTATTAATAAAATCAAAATTAATACACATTTTTATAAAGAACTATACTTATGTGTGTATATATATATATATATATATATATATATATATATATATGTATATATGATAATTTATTCAATTTCCAATTACATATTTTATTTTTTAAAAAATTACAATAAATAGAAAGATATATAAGAATTATTGATATTTCATACTTTAAATTATTATAAAATCACTGTTATAAATTTTCTTATTATAATATTAAAATAATTAGTACTGTGTTGATTAATTGATTATTTATGCTTTGTCCATTTCTGAAGCTTGCATTTGCTACACCATGACTTAATTTATCATTCACCTAAATATTTTAAATATAATTTATCTATTTTCATTTATTATCTCTAATTACAATAATAATAACATCCCATATAACATTATGACAAAAGTGGATATAAGTTTATTAATTAACATTTTTTAGATTGTCGGTAATAACAGGTTATTTATTGACAATATGTAAACAAATAAATAAAGCAGATTGGATTGTTTTACATATGCAAGGTGAAATGCTTAAGAAGCTGAGACCTTAATATTGACAAACTGAACTTGCTCAAAATCCATGTCAAAAATCCATAACGGCAAGAGTTCAACTACTCTATTATGTAAGACAGCTTAGAAGACAAACAAGAAGAGATAAAAACACTCTCTAATTAGTTGCATGCCTTATCGATTTTGTCAAAAGTAAAGCAAAAGTGCAGAGTTAATTCAACTTTTTATCGATAAAAAATCAAGCAAAGTGCCCAGATGACTAGGAGTTTATTAAGTATTTTCTAATCGCTGTAAACCCGTGAGTATACTTGCAAGAGTGTACGTGAGCTAATGTATTATTTTTTTGGTAGCATCAGAGGTGAGAGTTGGAAATTGTGCTGCCTCGATACTATTTTTTATTTTTTTAGAAATAGTGATGGTTACAGTTTACTCGATAATTCATGTCAATGTGTTGCTGTTGGATTCGATTACTAGTTTGTTGATTGAAAATGGAGTTTATAGGAGCGTCTGTTTTTTTCAGTGGTTAAAAAGGATTAGTTTCTTAATCTTTACAGAACCGACTACGATCTTGTAAGGCTGATTATAAGTGTGGTTGCAGGCCTTGGTATGTAGTGTCGAGGAATTCAAATTCGGCATTTTTGTGATTGGACGTTGGTTGCTTTAGTTTTCAATCAGCGGATTTAAAGCTTATCGATTTTTGGTATTGTTTCCTAAAGGGAAGTAGAATGATGATTCAAAGTTTATCATGCTCATCTGCGTATCTTGAATCCTTTCACAGACTCGCACAGCTGCCTCTAGCAAACATTGCCACAAACTAAAGATTTTGAAGTAAGGTGAGTAAGCATATTCCTCAGATTCCAACGTTGCTTACTTTTCATACATTTTCAAGGATTTGTGTGCTTGTTATTCAAAAATGCCTGGATGTAAACATTGCTATTAGTACTTTAGGTAGATGGACTGCATTGCAGTGATTTGGACATATTGGAAAGGTTTGAACTGGAAAACTTTGGATTTAGTCTGCTTCTTTCGGATTTCATCTATTCAGGGCTATCTCGAGAAAAATTTGGATACTAGAGATCTACAACCATTTGAAATCCGTGCTTTTGAGTTAGGAAGCGATAGTCAGAGCCTGATTTTGGTAAGAGAGGAGGCTGGAGAGAGGCCAAGACTGGTTGGAGTTGTTTGGGGTGGTACCACTCGATAGGGTCGTCTAAAACTTCGTAGACGCCAAAGAATTGGACGAGTGGGGTTGATCTGAGTCGCCTTCTGGAGTCCCTCGAGCTTAGCATTGTCACTTCGAATGGACGGAGGATCATTATAGCACAATGTTATCTAGCAGACACATACATCAAATGGACGGAGGATGTGCATCAAATGGACGGAGGACAGTGATGTGCAGGTCCTCAGAATCGCTGAAGGACCTACTGTCTACTGCTACTTTTGAAACGAGTGCGACGCAGCCAGAGGTGAAGGAGCTTGTTATTCTACCTTCTTCCAAGAATGCTCTTGATCTCACCAGCCAGAAAATCCAGTCAGCGGGGAGAAAAGCCACATATTCAATACTTTTTACAATCGATGACCCTTTTGAACTTTCACTTTCAAGTCCGTTATCTGGTGTCGAGCATTGCAGCAACTTCATGGAGTGGCACCAAAGGATGAACAGATGTGGTCGTCTTCCGAAAGCTGCATAGGTCTTTGAATCCATATACCTCCTTTTAGTTCATCCGGATGAAACGAGTCTGATCATTGTCAGAAATTTGTATTTTATTTTTTTCTATACTTTTTTCTATATTTTTTTCATTATTCTCTTTGTATGAATACTTCTCATACGGGATTTTTTCATACATTTTAATCTAATGCTGTGTGATATGAAAAATAGTTACGAACAAGTACAAGTGATCTTTGATTAACAAGATTATATTGAGTGTTCCCTCATGCGATGAAAAATATACTTTCACCACAGACGTAGATTTTAATCAATTACAACAAGCCATAGTTCTGTTCAAAAGGAATGATCGTTATTATCATTATGTTAGTGAAATTATTGTTGAAATTATTGTTGATTGTTAAAGTAATTTTGGTCGTTCCTAAACATTGACATTGGAAAATTGTTCTGAAAAACGTTTTGAGTACTTTTGAAAATGGTTTTGTAGCTTCCTTCTAGGAATGAGTTTGGTATGAAATATTGGATGTACATTGGCGTGTTTGCATGTTTATTGTGCAATTGGCTTTCTATGTCTCTTACATATGACACCGTAGTTTTCCATAATTCTGTGTTAGGGAGTAATATCAAGTTTGAAACAGATAATTTTTCTTTTTTTGAATGATCCATGCTTACCTTTGCTGAACAAAAATTTCTCCAGCTGTGTTTATTTTTGTTTCCGTGGTAGATTTGTTGCCTTTCCGGGTTAAGTTCCTTCATTTAATTGTCTCTCAATCCACCTCAGAAATTTCAAGTTTGTTATATCTTTGAATGTGAACCCCACAAGCATGTGTTCCACAATATCATAGAATTAGATTTCACTTTACATCTACAATGCAAACACTAAATATTAAATCTAAAACACATATGGATTTTCAAATTCAATCACCACGTAAACAAAAAAGTCTATCTGTGAACGCCTAATATATAATAAAATAAAATACAAAACAACCCTTGATCAGGTGCACATAATGTGATTGTAAAGTCAATTCATAGCTTCTGTTTTTTTGTGACAACAGCATGGGTTCGTGGCCAACCGCCCAGGTTTCCACAAGTATAAGTGTATATATATATACATATGATGATTATACTTTTGAAATTTTAAATAATTAATTTTTATTTTGATTTATTTATATATATATTATGAATTAAATTGTTCAAATCATATAGTTTTCAAACATTGGATATGTGTGAATAAATTATTTTGTGTGAATATATATATATATATATATATATATATATATATATGTATATTATAGTATTTTCAACCTGTTGAATTCACAACTGGTCTTTACATTGAAAAATCACACCCATCCAAAGCATGAATTCCTGCAAGCTTCCCCCTCGTTCCACCCCAACCGATGCTCCTTTTTGCCGCGTGCATAGATAGATAGACACACGCACATCACAAACACACACACACACACACACACACCCAGAGACACAGAGACACAGACAAACGCGAAATATAGTTGCAGCGGTGAAGCAACAACGATCCAATAGCACCGAAGATTCGTCCAATGGCACCGCAAACTCCATGCCATCTTTGGGTAACTGTCTTTAGCTGGTCATGACACGGCCACCACGGCCCCAAGAGCCAATCAGTCGCCCTCCCTTCGATTCCCACACCGGCCATGCCATAGTGTGGACTCAATATGGATGCGGTGCCGAAGATGCGGGCAGAAGTGCAGCTTACTTTTCGCTCCACTACCCTCTTTATTATGCCTGTAATCAAAGTTCCCACTTTTCCCTGCCGGATTGGCTGAGAGATGTACCCTCATGCACTGCGAGCCGATAGTCGTCGAGAGTGAACTTATTGCTGGTTAATTGCTAGGCGCGAAAACATCGGTTCAATGGCTCCACCAGGTTCGCCGGATTCACCAAGCAAAGAGCGTCCGAGCCTTTTAGAATTAAGTTCTGGTCCTGCAACTTCGGCACTGGAGGAACCCATGCGATGATGCGACTGTGTTCCGCAACACGCACGGTCGAGAAATGGCTGGTGTGAAAGTTGCTGTGGCTGCTACTGGCCGCAGCAGCGGCTATTGCTGCTTCTCCTGTGTGATCGGGGGAATGCGATTGAATATCCAATTCAATATCCGGGAGAATTGGCAGTTGCTGATGTCGATAAGAGCGAACGGTCAGTGAAGAAGATGTGAACGATAGATAGGAAGGAAATAATTTCTGAAATGAGACATTAGGTGTATAGTATGGTAATTTGTTCACATGTTGTTGACATCTTGTTTTTTGTCCAGGATTGTGACAAAAAAAATTGAATGAATCGGGTTGATTTCTACGAGCAAGGTATATAATTGATTTTTATGAGCAAGCTATATAATTTACCGAAGAAGGGACTACATATGCATATGTTGATACTTGTGCGTGTCAGTAGTTATTCCTCATCAGAAGTAGAACTTATTCTAGACAATATAGCTGCGTGTGTCTACAACTTTTGGCAAGAGGTTCGTATGAAGATGATGGAAACAGAGATGCAGAGGCTAATGTTACGAAAGAGTACGAATACACAATAGGCCTGACTAAATGAACACGCATTTTATTGCAAGAGAATACAAATGTGTCAATTATCCAGTTACTCGTCCATCACAACTCTGCTACAAAGTCTAATCATCGATCAATCATCAATAATACTACACGACCGCTAGTCACAATTACAATACGTTTACAGTCTTCCAAGACGTTACCGTACGAAGCTGCTCATCAACGCGTCAATAAACACGTCATAATAAGCGCTGAGTACTGAAACGACGGCACTGTCCGTAACACGTCCAATGTGGAGTGCAATGAATAACCGCTACGAACTAGTGAACAGCAGACACAGTCCATCTAGAAGATGGCGGCAATCACAACAGCCGACGCAACCAAAGCGGCGATGTCGAAGTTGACAAGTGATGCACCACTGACTGCGGAGGATGGTCCCATCGCAGGTCCCTCCAAATCGGGCATTGGTGGCATCATGACTGGGGTTTCAGCAGGGGATTCAACAGGTGACTCCATTGGTGACTCCATTGGTGACTCCATTGGTGACTCCATTGGTGACTCCATTGGTGACTTCATTGGCGACTCCATTGGCGACTCCATTGGCGACTCCATGGGAGATTCAATTGGTGGTGCCATCATCGGGGAAGACATGGGAGCTTCCATTGGTGATTCAACTGGTCCCATCATCATGGGGGCAGGCGTCGGAGCAGTTGTGGGAGGGGCAGTTGGCGCCAACTGAGCGGCTTTAAGGCCAACGGGTTCGAGGACATTGCTGACTTCGACGTAGCTGCAGTTGTAGGGAACAGCCTTTGGGTATGAGACCACGGTGGTCATCGTGGTGGATCCGATAGTCGAGGGCATCACTGTCACAACATTGGAAGTAGGGTTGTATGTGATGTTTACAAATCCATCCATACCGTTAGCTCGTCCTGTAGTTTGGTACAGTGTGGTTACTACGCCATCGGCATTCAGGGTGTTGGCCTGCTTGATGGTTTCGGAGTCGTAATAGGTAAGAAGCACGTGGTACCTGAGAACATCAGCAAGCATCTGTGTCGTGTAGTCAGGGTGCGAAGACGCGTATCCGGCGAATGGCCCATTCTTGATGAGTAGAAGAGTGAGGGAATTCCGTGCCATGACTTCAGAAGCAACTCCACTCGCCATCATGGCATCCCTTTGAGCTGAATATTCGGCGAACTCTGGACCATTGAGAGCCGAGGCACAATCCTGTGCAGTGACCGCTACAGCCAGCGTCACGAGGACGAAGATTCCGAACAGCACGCGAGACATCTTCATTGTCGATAAGCTGTTCACCTGCAAAGAAAGTTGGATTCGCCCGAGTGTAAATATCACGGCAAGAGCCCCTTCCGTAAAGGGTATCAGAGGATTTCGCTACAATGTTAAACTCTAACTTCGAAGGTTACTGAGACAAATATATGCGTTCAAGTGCTTCAGTAGCAGAAACGATCAACACTGTACCATTCTGGTATTGTACTCATAATCCTCGAGCCTGAAGAGCTTGAGAATCAGTATGACCCTAGATTCACAAAAACCTCGTACCAACGCACGGACTAATACAAAGACTTTCTGAGAACCAAGTCCACCGAGCTGAGTACATGAGTCTCGATCATGCCAGTGGGGCGAAGAGAATGCGAGGCAAGACAAGAGTAGAAAAATGAAAAACTACAACTCAGCAGCAGAAGCACCAATTCACGTTCAGGCCCCGCAGGAACCTGAAAACCCCGCCAATGTGGTCACTGCACAGGATTGTGCCTCGGCTACTACAGAGCGATACAAGGAGTCCAGCGCGGCCAACTCCAGTTAGACGATACTGACTCACCTGATCGAACTTGCAAGCAACCAGAGCTGGGAGCCGCAGAGCGAAGAAGACGCTAATCCTTAGGAGCACAAGGAGAGGACTTCGACCACGCCTGGCTCGCAGCTCCTCGATACAGCACTGCAGAGCACTGGGAAGAGTGATATGTGGAGGCGCAGCCAGGGAATTTGAAGGCGTTGCGAGGCCGCGTGGGTGGCCAGATTACTGTCGGGTCTGGCGGGTCGGGAGGGGTCGCGGCCAAGGCGGGATTCAGGTGTCTCGGGATTACCGCTTGCCGCAGCGCGCGCGGGTGACCATCTTCGTCCTGCGTCCCATGCCTTGAACGCGAGCTCCCACGGCGTCCACCACAACCCTCGTGGAGCAGCTCGGAGTTCCCTTCTATTAAAAGCACGTGCGCTCTAAACTCGAAATCGGGGGGGGGGGATGGGTTTGATTAGCTGGCATTAAACTGTCCTCCGTGGCTACCAGGCTGGAATCTATAGGAGGTGAGTGAGGCAGCTAATGCATGTGCATTTTCCGAGTGGCTGGAATGAAAGGTTACTTTTTGAAAAACCCTACTGCAGTGTGTGGCCTCAATCTGGGCATTCAAACTGGAGGCGAGTCGATTAATTAAGCTGCTTTGTAGTCTACTTGGAAGTGATTTAAGGAGCGAGAAAAAATTCTTAATCCAAAAAAATTGTTCATTTAAAGTTTTCGATGTGCATTATGTTAGATAAGAAATATCTGAAGTTTCGGAAAACATGTAGAATTGTGCAGTAGTACAAATAATATGTGTATCTGGAGATAAAACAAAGTTTTATTTTTGTCTTAATCTTAGGATTCGACGCACTAAGAAAACAATAAGTTCCATTTGCTGTGGATAATAGTACAAATTGAAAGATTTATCCCAAGGGATAGATCCAGTTCTTGGTGGAACACCTCTCATATAAACTTTTTCCTTCCTGTTTAAATATATTTGATTATATGCATGTAGCACAAAATTCAATTCTTTGTCAAATGTGATAATTGTGTGGCAAAATAATTTAGCTTTTTAGTTTTATTTTTCCAACTAAACAAAAGTATGTGTGTGTGCATATATATATATATATATATATAATCGTAAGTTTCTCATACAAAAATTTATCTTTTCTTATTTTATATGGTTTCAATGTTCAAGTTTATTTCAATAATAACACTAAGAGTATTAATAATACAAAAATTAAATATGGGTCATATTGAATACATGTCTAAAAATAAATCTAATTTAAACTAGGATTTTGAATTATAATGATTTAAATCACATATAATAATACATTTTCATGCTAACATTTTGATTGAGAATTCAAAGTAAAAAAAAAAACAACAAGATTATCTCGCTAACTTCGACGATGGGCAGCCATAGCAGCAGACAACCCTACGTAGGCCATCCAGAAAATGTACTCCAGGAAGATAACCATTCAAGAATAGACCCCTGCGCAGCGTGTAGTAACATGCTAGCAAGAGCAGCTAAATGCGACCACTGGTAGTCCCATTGTTTCTTAGTTATCTGAAGGTTTAAACAGTGTACACTATAATATTGACGACTAAGAAGAACCTGGTCGACCTCCGTTAGAATGAACTGCACATAAACGGGTGTACATCTGTGACATGGATCGATACCCACGATGATCACCAGATCTCAACAAATTTCCTGCACGAGGTACATATGCCTTGAGAATCGAGAACACTTAGGCAGCAGGTTTGAGTACAATAAGTAGTAACTCTCGTATTAAAACTAATTATACCTGCAGCCATCATCATAAAAAGAACCTTATGCAGGACTAATAGTTAATATCTAATGAAATTGCGTTAGACACATACCTGCATCACAATTGAGGGGGCTATCAGCCTCAGGATGCGCCAAGAGGGCAATAACTGCACGGCAGACTGATTGCAATGTCCACGCAGGACTCCAAGCAGTTTTCAATATATCCAAACAGATTTCACCTGTCTGCGAACACAAAAAAGTATTTAAAATGGCTTCATAATACAAACTAATCAAGAATAAACGTAAAAGAATACTTTGTTTTGTTTTCAAGAAGCAACAATAATGCAACTTTGATGAAGATGAACCTTGAAATGAACATTGGGGTGGAAGATCTTGGTGACAAAGCGCACTTGGGGTGGAACTAGAGGATACTGCTCAGGTACATTGACGGCAAGCTGAAACACGCCTTCCTGGTATGGGGTGTCTACTGGCCCCTGCAACTCGTTTATAAACCAAAAACCTTCAGCGTCTAAACGGAAGCTGGCTGACGTCAACAGCCAAGAACTTCTACATAAAAATGAGGAAGTTTTATCTGAAGAGATAAACTTTTCTTTCGACCTTTTTCTAATCCAACAAACAGTTGCCGACCCAACCAAGGCATCGAAAGAAATATTCAAGAAGTGCTACATAAAAAGTTAAGAATCCATTCAACAAATAAGTCGAGGTGCTCTTCATAAACAAATTGAATCGTTGCAAATCTAAAAGGAGAAACAGAACCTTAATGTAAGCAGTCCAGCGATATATATTGGTGTCGTCACACGTCAGCTGAATGTCATTGTCACCTCCTTTTTCCCGGTGTACTTCCTTGTACTCCTTAAACAGCCTTGCTCGCGATGTCTGAACAGAAAAAACAAAAAAATGCGGTTTTACCCGTATATCATTCCAAGCGCCCTAGGATAGTTTCAGATCCAACTCAAGCACTAATTAACATGAACTCGTTTTCTCAATCTGAAGTTCGTGTGTAGCAAAATTCCCCCCCTAGCATGTCCTTGACAGATATTCGCCATGATGAAACAATGTGATAAACAAAGAGAGCTGTGAAGAAAGACAAAGAAACCCTAACACTGCATAGTATGAAACATGGGGGACGTCGTACAACGTTGCAACAACCGATTAAAATAGGGTTCACTAATATGGCTGCTCAAATATCCAAACCTAAGACTGACGCAAACACCCCCTTCTCTTCGATTCGTTCACACACAAGAAGGACTTCTCAGCATCATAATTCCGGTACGACTAAACTTTGCAGCAATTACTAAGAGCGGAGCTAGGGTTCGTAGATAACGCACACGGGTGCCACTCCCTCGAATCAATTCCACTTACCGCAGTGCAAAACCAGTAGATCACGCAAATTTCTGTGACAAAAATTCCCTCGTGCTATATTACCAACTGCTCAATCAATGAAGCACAACGAAATTACACCCCAAGAAGGAGAAGTCTAGAAACCACGTTAACAGCGCGATTGAGCGTGGAAAAGCGCTAATCTGGAATCACCGTCATCCTCTACTCGTGCTAAGCCTGCAATCTTCAAACCCCAAGACCGGCTACCCACGAACAAGAGCCACAGACCCACAACACAAAACCACGATTAACAAAGAACCCAGAAGAGGAAAAAAAAAGAAATTACCATGGATGCGCACTGTTGTGTTAATCGAGAGGGGTGAAGCGTCGATCGGTGGAGGCTCTTCTTCAAATTGCAACAAGGGTAATGGGCAGACAACGAGGAGATCACATGGGAAGCACTTTCTTGACGACGATTCGTGGTCATGGGTGTCGCACGGACACCGACCCGGTTTTAGGTCCTAACCCCGAGGCTCCCAAGGAAAGTGCATGGAATGAGGACGGGCTTTTGTGGCCGCTCCATTTAACTTGACACACATTTACGGATGCAGAATAATGGGATACATCAATAATGTACTATTTGTGAGGTACTTGGATTTTTCTAAATATATATATGTACAAATCCTTAGAATTTTCTTATATTCAGAAAATAACAATAAATTATAAAAAATGATGCTTGATAGTTGTTGCATATAGTAACTAACATCTGATTTAATGTTTTCTATTGTGTTGTTGAAAAATCAAGTTAATAGAAAATTGTGTGAGTTTCCATTAATATCTCAGAGAATTGATAAATTTAGGTTTCAAGTGTATATGGTAAACTTGTATTTATGAAGTCTTTGTTTTAATTATTTTTTATTAATTTTTTAATATCAAAAAATGTGAAAATTTTGGCATTAGACATGAAATTGTTTTTAAAAGTACAAAGTTACCACATGATGGAAATTTTGAAAAATTGAAAAAAAATAATATGTATGATATGCTTTTTATTCTTTATTTATTATCATTATTATTAGTAGTAATTAATGTTATAGGCATTTTCTTATTTTTGCTCAAAAACAATGAAATCCAATATTGCAAACAAACACAACTATTAAAAAGTAAGTATAAAATATAGAATCTACAGATTTTGATAAATAAAAAACGTATTATTGTTAATAATATAATAGGAATTACAAAAAGTGTTCAAAATATTCAGAAAACATATATTTTTATAAAAATATTTTGTTTGTAGAAAAAGAAATGCATAACTCAATATAGAATTATAATTCAATAACTCTCATGGTTAATTTTTAACAAGAAAACATAAATCAAATAATATAAGTTATTTGTTAGTATACATATATATATATATATATATATAAGAACTATAACCGATATTACAATACATACAATCAAAGGTTTATAGTTAAGATTCTCATTGCGTAAAGAGGTTTTTTTTCCACATTATTATCAACTTTACAATATCAATGTATCAATATCAATAAATCATTTTAATTTTTATTCACCTTATACAAAATCAAAGAATTATTTTATATATATATATATATATATATATATAGACTAATAAATAAAAATTATTTATTATAAAAATATATATAAACCTATTTAGAAACAAGTCAATGGTATACTATTATTTTGATAGACCATCAACTTTTGGTAGTAATTTTTGTTAAATTTATTTGAAATTGGATGTTTATTCCATCTTTTTCACTAAAATATACAAAATATATAGCAACATCGTGGTGACATTGAGCAATAATAATTTGCCTCATTTCTATTTATTCTTTTGAAATCCATATACTATAATACTTAAGGTAGCAATTCGATTTAGTCACCAGATTTAATTTTGAGTAATTTATTCATTGCATGTACTTCAATGGCTCGTAAATCAACATCAAAATAGAAGATGTAGTGGTAACATATAAGAACATCAACCTTTCATATAGAATCAAGAATCATACTACTATACCTCGACTTCAACCAACCTATGGAAAAAAACATCCCATGTAGATACATTATTTGAGGCTACTTGGTAATTCTTAAAGAAACAAGATTAAATTTCTTTTGCAAATAGATTCTTCTTTATTGTACAAATCTTTGATGATACCTTGTAAAAGTCATATAAGAGAAACTGGGTTTATATTGGAACTTAGCTCTAGATCATATTCTATAGAATTCACTTCTTTATTTTTTACATTTAAGATGAAGGTCAAGGCATGAAATTTCTAAGCATTTACCTTATTATGTACAATTTTCAACTTTGAATAGTTTTTTATAGATATTGATACAAATGTAGTTTCATCACCTTTTAACTCTCTCAATAACTTTATTGGATTTTTAGTCCATATGTGTTGGATCATAAAATGCAAAATATTGAAAAGGACGGCAAGCAAGAATCAAGTTTATGTATAAGAGGTTCTTTAAAAATTGCATTGGTAATGCAATTAATTAAATTTAATTTGATTATAAATTTTTAAACAAGTTTTACTATTACTACTAGTCATGATGATGATGATTGTAATGAAGATGACAATAATAAAAAAATTAACATAATAATAATTCTCTAAGTCTTAGATAATATTTACATACAACTATAAAAATATGCATTGATAATATTTTAGAGATGGATGTAATTAGTAAAAAAATAATCAAAAGCTTTAACATTGATAACAAAATATGTACAATTTTTTTTTGTATAAACCACCAGATTTGCAAAACATTTCAAGCATAGAAAAAACCTGGCTAGCTAGAATTTGGATGTTTTTAGTAATAAAAAATCTTATAGCAATAAATGCACTCTTATCTACAATCACACTATTTAGAAGAGTGGCACCTATATCCACAAATGCCTTGTCATCTATAATGCATCCATCAATGACTACATTATGCCTTGTATCCTCACATGCACATGTCCTCAATTGACAAAAAAATTTACTTTCAAAGAAATTAAATGAACATGAAGCATTTCTAAGCTTGCACTTTTCAAAAAGTATTCAAAAAAAAGCACAAATCAAACTTATTAATGAATTGAACACTCACCTATAGTGACCTTATTGCCAATTGAAGTGGATGAATTGTCATTGTTAAACTAAGAACCACCAATGGTCATAAGACAATGATCTTTGATATTTGTCTCAAAATCAATTCTTATGCTACTTGAATCTACTACTAGATCATTAATAATACTAAGAACTAATACATTGAATTAATCATATTTTAGGTTCCTGATCTATTACAATTACATAATCATTATATATAAACAATGGTGTCATATTATGTGAAGTCTGCTTGAGAATGTATTAGAAACTTGGCTATAGAAGAAAAAATGGAACTCGCGACAAGATGATTCCAACATCTCTAATAGAATCCTAAATAAACTTCAATTTAATTATACCAATGTTAATCAATCTTTAATTAAATTCAAAAAAATTCTTAAGAACTTATAAAATAAGTATAAAAAAATCATAAACTAATCTTAATGAAACATATATCATTAATTTTTTTTAAAAAAATATCAAAAATAAAAATCTAAATTGAATCCTAATCAAATCCTAATAAAACCTTCAACAAACCTTAATGAAATCCTAAATCAATTTTAACCAAATCTTAATGAAAATCTAAATCTCAAATATATCTTAATAAATTTTTAGAAAAATTCTAACTAAATTCTAAGCAAATTCTAATCAAATCCTAAGCAAACCCCAAATCTTAATCAAATTTTAAACAAATTCTAATTAAATTCTAGTTAAATCTTAAATAAATCTTAATTAAATTCTAAATAAATCTTGATCAAATCCTAGAGAAATTTTAAACAAATTTTGAATCCTAATCCTAGGCCAAATCTTAATCAAATTCTAAAACCTAATCTTAGATCAAATCCCAATAAAATCTTAAATTCTAATAAAATCCTATCAAATCCTAAACAAATCTTAAATGAATCCAAACTAAATCCTATACAAAACACTAAGCAAATCCTAAGCAAATCCTAAACCAAATCCTAATAAAATCCTAAACTTTAAACAATCTCAAGAAAATCTCAAGTAAATTTCAATCAATTATTATATTATTTTAAAATCTCAATAAAATTAATTAAACAATAGATCTTGACTAAAATTTCATCCAAACTTTAATCAATAAGCAATTAACAAGTATACAAAATTTGAAAAGAATCAAACTTACCAATTGCAAGAAAAGCTTCCAAAATCTCTTGATCATTGGTCGCTTTCCTTCTCCAACTTGAATATTAATCTTTCAACATCGATTTTTCCTTATTGAACCATTCAATTGTTCAAAAAATTGAGTAATGTGTAGATATTCAAGTCTCGATTACTTTCTCTAAATTTTTCTACAATCCAACTAAAAAATATTGCTAGATCTTGGAATTATTCACAAATCCTAAATCTCAAATTTTTGAGACCATAATGCACAAAAATCCTCATATACTTCAATTTAATTTCTTCATTAACCTCAAATTTTTCATACATAATTAGAACAAGCTGAACAACAAATTCTCCAATTTTCACTTGTGTACATACTACAAAACTCAAGAAATCCTCAAATTTATAAATATATTTTTAATTCTCAAAATCTAAATCCACTGTATACATTACTAACTTTGAAAATCTCTCAAAATCTCAATATTAATCCAAATGACTTGAAACAAAGTTTCAAAAATCTTTTTTCAAGTTTGCTTTTAAACTTCACTCTCTGATTTCCAAAAGAATCTCAAAGTTGCCGTAGGTGCTCAATTTTGTGCCTCAAGGTCTAATTTTGACCTTGATTGGCAACTGATCCACTTCGGATATCATTTCTTATCTTCTTAAGGTAATTTTTGCTAAAATCAACTCCTAATTCTCTCCTATATATACCTATATCCTTTATTTTTCTAATCTACCTTGTTTTTGTTTATTTATGGCTCTACAAAATAAATAGAACCTATTTTTATAAAAAGCAATTTTAATACTAATAAATTTTATTATCTGCCTATCATTTATCTATATTTCTTTACTATATATTTTTAATTTGGCTCTTTTATAATAAAATACTTTCTTTTTACTTTCAAGTAATGGTTGTGCTACTACATGATAACAAAAATATCAACTACTCAAATAATATTCATTTTAAAATCCTATCTGTGCTCACGAACATGCAAAAATCACAATCACTTACCTCTTAATACACAGCCATATCAAATAGAGGACTTGGATCCAACTTCATCACCATAGATGAGGGAATAAATGGGTCTTCAACAACAATAGGTCAAAAAGGTTCATACCTCGATAGAGCACAGGAGGAAACAAGGGAAAACATACCACAACAATATGAATTACTTGAATCTAGTAATTGTGAAGTCACCTTACCCCTGAAAAAGAAAGTTCAAGTATGTGCCTATGAGAGCTGTAACCTGCTGATTATAACGACAGTAACCTGGTGTAAGCG